CCCAAAACCCCAAAACCCCAAAACCCCAAAACCCCAAAACCCCAGAGCCACTGTAAAGGTTGGCTTGTCTCGATTTGGTTTATTATAAATCAAAATTTAATTTGGCTAGCTTATCTAATCCTTTCATGTATTTCTTCATATCTCTCATAAATGGAGGGATTATAAGGTGGTCTCAGCGGATGATTTTCATGAGGAAGGGTCTGTCAAGGTCTTCTAAAGATATTTTACCTGATATTAAAGCATGAAAATTTATATTCTTCCGCTCTTTGAGGATCTTATAAGCTCCTTCTAAGTATACTTGATCCTTGTAGAGACCTCCAGCTTGGGCTGTATCTGTTAATCCTCTCTTTACCCTGAGGGTAAAGTGCCATCTTCTGTTTGGATCATCAATGTACTGCTCAAGATCCTTGAAGAGGTCAGCGAAGGAAAGAGATCCAGCTTTACAAGCTGAGTAGTAGTTTAGAGCTGCTTTGTAGAAGTACCTACTTATTATTAAACGAACTTACGCTTTCTTGCCAGGACTTAAGGAATACTCGCTGTATTGGTTGATCACAGCAAATCCCTCTTCTGTTTGGATGCAACTGGCAATATCATATTTATCCTTCTTGCCATGCCACTTCTGCTTTCGGTCGTTGACTTTCCTGCAGAAATGAGTTCCGATTTCATGATGAAGCATTGTTAAGACTCGGTCTTCCCTATATTCAATTGGGAGCCGGATGTTCATCCGAGATTTCTTTTTTTTGGAATCATGAACGATACTGGTCGGGGCGATCATTTTCTTAGTGAAATTGAGTGTGATCAACTTCTCAATTTCAAGGTCTTGGAGATATTTGCTGATAATACTCTCAGTGTCTTCTTTGGAGATTATCTCTCCTTCAGTTTTGAGGAAAGCTGACTCAGATCCGAAGTCTTTTAGCCAGTTCTTCAGAATCCTGGTTGCATATTTAAGTAAATCATTTCGTGCCTGGGGGACTCCTTCAGGTGACTTATTTTCAGAGAAGAACTGCTTCAGGTATTTTCTTGTCAGATTCTCATTGTCGTACACGAACTGAGGATTGTAGTTTCATTCGGCCTCGAAGAACAACTTCTTCTGCTCTTCAAGGTTTTTAGGTACTGAGCAGAGGAGAGAGATGTTCTTCTTCTTTTTGTATGGGCCATGATAGTATTTATGAATCTTTTGTTTTCTTTCAAGGATTTGCTGATTTGTGAGCTCGTCGTTTCGTGACGCAGTTGATCCAAAAGCAACCATTTTTCCCTTGTCAATGTCGTTGCCCTTCTTTTTGACAATTTTTCAGGTAAAAGTACCTTTTATTGAATTACCTCCTTGATTTTTGCTACTGCTTCATTGAGGGATGCGTGCTTGAATGATGTTTTTGCTTTCATTGGTGAGTATTGGCTTTTTAGCTATATTTAAACCATCTATTTTCTCTTTGGAATTTTCCTCAGATTCAGGTGAAATCGGACGAGACTCCACACATTCATCATCTTCCTCAATATCATCATCCTCTGAACTCTGGTCTTCTTCATCGCTGAGACCTATCAAACCCAATCAATTTATCTCTCCAAAAAGGCAGTATATCCAAAATCCAATTCTATTTGCTTTAAAAATGCTTACAATCGTTATTTCTTTCGTCTTCATCGACTTTTTCCTCTTCATAATTATTACCTTGTTCTTTCTCCTCTTCAGTCTCTTCTGACTCAGACTCATTCTCTTTAGACTCATCTTTCTTCATGTTCTCAAGCACTATGGATCAGACTATTCACAATACGCTGTATATTTGAAAATCTAGGAAGCTTAAAGGGAGATCCTGCCTTTTCATCAACAGAGGAGCGTTTCTCCAGCTGCTTCTTGATACCTAAGGGGTAAGTCAACAAATTGATACTTTCTTTAGCAGAAGCTGTGGAAGCGGAAGCTCTCAAACTTTTCGTTGCTCTTTGAGACATCATTAGGGACTTCTCTTTCTCAGACCTCTGCTGGGATAGAAGAGCACCTTTGTTGGATTTTGGCTTAATCTCATAGGATTTTATACTAAGAAGATCCTGAGGTATTTCTAACATCATCGAGTTACTACAGATCAGGGGTCATACTTACTTTTGGCTCTTACTGAAGTATGACCCAAACCTCTTCTTCATTTGAGGCGTCATGGGAGTCGACTTAAAACTCGCATTACAAATGCTTGGGTTCAGTAATTCCTTCGATTTTGATATTCTAACTAATGGTGAAAGATAATTTTACTTGCAAGATGACTGGTTCTGACTTTCTATAGAAATTTTGACTTTAAAGGTACCTTTATACATAGGAGCAAGGTATCGCTCATCGATTTCTTCTTGAGAACCTTCACTGGAGTAAATCCCTGAGTCTAGAATGATCCAATTTGCTTACTTTCTACTTCTTGATACTTGAGGTTATACTCAATCTCTTTCTTTTCAATATCTACAGTTGTAATCCACTACTAGTACCTATCTTCTTATTACTTAAAACACGATGAGATTGTTGTCCGTTTGTCTTAGTCGGGCTTTCATGCCTACTGGGGATTGGACTGAGTCTTTGGGCTTTGTGCTTCTCTATAAAGTAATTAGGGCTGTTACCTTCCCGTTCGTACTCAGTCTCTTCTACTTTTCATCGGAAGACCTTCTTCTTCTTTTTATTTAGTTCTCTTTTTATGTGCCTTTTTGTGCTTTTTAATGAGATCTTTCTCCTTTTCTTCAATTATTTCCCCATCTAAAGGCTGGAACCTGATGTTATGGTTGTACTTAGAGTTCACACCTAACAGAGGGTTTACTTGCATAAAATTTGAGGATGAAGAGGTCGGCCTTGATCTCACAATTTGTTCCTTCATATTGTGGCACCTTGGGTCTAAAAAATTAGAGTAAGGCTTTACCATTGTATTCATTCACATTATTTACTTGATAGTAACCAATAGAGTGCCCTTTATTGATTTGCTTGTTGGATTCTTGAGTCAGGTTAGGATCAACAGCGCCTTCTGGTTTGTAAAAGCACTGTGAACCATGTACTGTAGACATGCCTTTTACCATAAAGTTTTTACTACTATCTCCGTCAGAGTCATATGCATATCCTTGTCTGCCGTTGTCAGCCCATTCTTCGATGAACTTTCTCTTAAGAGAGCCATCATTGTAGTGTCTCATTCTTGCTTGAGCAGTATCGATAAGTCCGTTGATTCCCTTTTGGGAGCTCCTGTATAGATTTAGCTTTGAAGGGGTATCTTCGGTTCTAATTTTGTCTGAGCTCATCAGTTTTATTGGAACTTTTCACTAACATGCTTCTGAGAATGATGATAAGCATGATTATTTGAAATTGAAGGCACTCTTTTCGAGTCATTTTTCCTGTAGTAATTATTCATGTTGGATGAAACAGGAGGAAGAATATCTCTACATTTTTCACACCTTGCACTCTTCCCAAACTTAGAACAGAGACAAGTGATTTTGCTCTGAAGATGAGAAGGTCTTGTATCGAGGTTGTTAATAGACATATAATCCTTCTTCATCATTTTCATCTTCTGTGCATCTTTAAATTTTTGAGTGCCCATTCTCGATCCCATGAACTTTGTTTCTACCTGCTCAGGGAATGCAGTCAACTGATCTTCTTGGGTATTTTGAGGGATAATTTCTCCTCTGGAATATGTAGCTAATTTTTCTTGTTGCGTTATAGGCTCTAAAGATATTTCAGACAAAGCAGTAATACCATCTTGTGTATTGAGTTGCCCTGTGACGTTATTCCTTCAAATTGAGTTGAACCTAGAAATCATTAATGTATCTATGATACCTTTTGATTTTAAAGTCGCTTAATCCCCCGATTGTAGGACATATTCCTCGGACTGCCTTCTCTTAGAAGTTTTGTGTGGGACTACAAGAAGTTACACGAAGTGAGTACGTTTCTCTGTTCCGTTATTTAAAGGGAGCTATCATGTTGAGATTACCACTGAGCTTAGAGAAGCTCTCTCTTTGTTTTAGAACCTATGATTATAGAGTATCTCATACATCATTTTGGGTCTTGAGTTTTGACAAGTTCTTTTGAAATTTCCTATCATTGTTGTGGGACCTAGTAAAGTTCGTTTAGGTTTAGAGCATAATAGATACACCCTTGTTTCGATCCTTTTAAATTTCGACTAAGATTTTACGAAGCTTCGAAATCATTTTAGGTAAGTGGTTTGGGAGATCTCCAAAGAATTAGGATAGAATAATAAATCTTCCCTAAATTTCAGTGAACGAGGTGTTGGGGTAGATATAAATTTTTGAAGGATTCAAGGTGAAAGTGTTGATAATGTAGGAGATTTGGTGTATTTGTTGGTGATAAGGTCTACGTAATAAGAGTTATACTGCAAGAGACTAATTTTATGAATGCTGAAAATTATACCAGATATATACCCAAACTGTATTCAAAATTTTTCCTTCCTAATTAGCCTCAAACTACTCTAAAATAACCTCTCCAAAATTTTAATAATACTAAACTCCCATTCCAAACACTCTCTCAGCCTCTTAAGGCTCATATTCCCATTCCCAATCCTCTTTATCCAATTTTATTAGTTCTTATTCCTAAATAACTTAAATTCTTTAAAACCCATCTAAAATCCTTTACTTACGCTGAAGGAGGTCCACTTTCAGCCTCTTTATTCTTCTTTTTCTTAATTACCTTCACTGTTGTCTTATTCTTATTCTTCCGAGCCATTTGAATCCTATTTCTTAATAATTATTATAGTAATTCACCTGCTTGGGGTTTTGGGGTTTTGGGGTTTTGGGGTTTTGGGGTTTTGGGG